CCTCTTCCTCCTGGGCCATTGCTGGCTGCTCCTGACATTCTTGTGTTGATTTGTCTTGGGCCTGCAACCTTGTTGCTGCCATGTGCCTAGCACTGCTGTTGCTGGCCCTGCTGCCAGCATCCCTGCTGCTTCTCCTGTTATTGCCCCTTTGGTAGGCCCTGTAGGTTTTATAGCTACAGAAGAAAGTGTGCTTGGGGTGGATTTGCTGGGCAGCCCATAAACACAGCAGGTGTGGGAAGCACATTGGACTCCCTTTCCCACAGCATAATCAAAGGAGGGAGCCCTTGACACCTCAGGGACCACATGAATGTTCCCGATGCTGACTTTATTCTCATCCCCTTCTCCATGGAGCTCCTGTGCTGAGGGGGAGAGAAACAACAGAGGTGGGGAAGACAAAATAAGAGACCAGAAGGGACTGCTCCCCGCTCTTCCTATAACTGAGCACACTAAAGGCTTATAAGTAGATAAACTTTTGAGGTCATCAGTCCAAGCTCCCACTTAATGCTGGAATCCCCCTATAGTGCCTCTGTCAAATGATCTTTCTGTTTTACTTGAACTGTTCCAGAACTAGGGAGAGCACTGTTACAATGCCCCCAGTGAACATCCTCACTTACCTTTATTTTCTATACTTATGCTAGTATTTCTGTAGGGATTGCTGAGTCAAGAATATGCACATTTCATAATTTGATAGCAGGGAACAGATTGTGCATGTGTTCACAGACTCATGTTAGAGTGACTTATATAAACTCAGGGCATAGCAGTCATGGGAAGACAGATCATAGTTCAAACAAAGGAAGAACTCTCTAATCGTTAAAAATAGATCACAACAGATCACTGTGCTTTGATTGCGGCAGTAAGCAATCAAGAAGATATTGAACTATTGTGATGCTGTAGATGGACATGAGATTAGAGCAGCTAATATTTAAGGAATGTCTGAAATTGAGCCTTGGGCTATATTCTGGAGAAGCACAGGAACCTTTCTAATGCGGAAAGTCACTCAGTGATGGCCCGTTTAGGCTTGGATTCTTTTACATGGAATGCATTTTCCAGGTGAGCCACAGAGGGCACTAGAAGCTTTGCAGTGTTTAAATGTTCTCCCAAAGCCCACTGGCTCCATCCTGCTGAGTCACAGCAGAGACTTACTGCTGAGTTCTTGTCTCTGATTCAATAGTAGTCATGTCCACTGTGTCCCCAGCTGGGAAGGCCTGGGGATTTCTGTAACCTTCCATTGATGGTCTCAGGAGCTAAATAGAGTTTCCTCAATAAGCGAAGAAGTCTTCCATGCATCTGAAGGAATAAAAAAGCCGCAAGTAGAAAAAACAGCCAGTGGCAAATTTCAGGCACAGCTGCTGTTTCCCAAACTTCAGGGGAAGCAGCTTGGATAGCTCTAAAGTCTTTGTAGGCCTGTGAGCCCCTCCTTTGATGACCTAGCCACGTTCAGCATGCTGTTCATAGCCTGTGACTGGTTGGGCCAACACCAGACAGCAAGTGGCAGAGAATAGGGCTGGAGGATGCAAGGTCCACGTCATCATTTAGACATGGTTGCGTACATCCATCATGTGTCTTCTTCTGCTGATCTGGATGAATTTGCTTGCAAACATTAGTGGGTGCTTGAATATATTATACTCTCCTTCTTTGTCCAGCTGTCAGTGAAGTTCCCCTTAGAGTTATTAAACCTGCCCACTGCACAGCCAGCCACTATGGACTGAATAGTGCAGTGACATGGATTCACTAGTCATGGTTATGGTTTATCAAGAAAGTTCCGTATCTGGATTTTATCCCCTTGAAGGGGTCTGTAATAGGTTTCTTTGCCATATAAAAAATTACCATAAACTTAATGGCTTAAAACAACATACATTTATTATCTCACAATTTCCATGGGTCAGGAGTCTGTGTATGTCTTTGACGGGTCCTGTGCTCAGGATCTCACAAAGCTGCAATCAAGGTACAGGCATACATTCAGAGATATTGTGGGTTTGGTTCCAGACCACCACAATAAAGCCAATGTTGCAATAAAGCAAGCCACACAAATTTTTAGGTTTCCTAATGCATATACAAGTTATGTTTACACTATACTGTGGACTACTGATTGTGCAATAGCATTATGTCTAAAAATACTATGTACCTACCTTAATTTAAATATACTTTTTTCCTAAAAAATGCTAATCATCACCTGAGCCTTCAGCAAGTTGTAATCTTCTTGTTGATGGAGGGTCTTGCCTCATTGTTGATGGCTGCTGAACAATCAGGTTGGTCGTTGCTGAAGGTTTGGGTCGCTGTGGGAATTTCTTAAAATAAGACAACAATGAAATTTGTCACATCAATTGACTGTTCTTTTCATGAACAATTTCTCTGTAGCATGCAACGCTGTTTGATTGCATTTTACCCACAGTAGAACTTCTTTCAAAATTGGAGTCATTCCCCTCAAACTCTGCCACTGCTTTATCAACTAAGTTTATGTAAAATTCTAAATCCTTTGTTGTCATTTTAACAGTCTTCACAGCATCTTCATCAGGTATAGATTCCATCTCATGAAACCACTTTCTTTGCTTATACTAAGAAGCAACTCCCCACCCATTAAACTTTTATCATGACATTGCAGCACTTCAGTCACATCCTCAGGCTCCACTTCTAATTCTAGTTCTCTTGCTATTTCTACCACATCTGTAGTTACTTCCTCTACTGAAGTTGCGAACCCCCAAAGTCATCCATGAGGGTTGGAATCAATTCCTCTCAAACTCCCATTAATGTTGATATTTTGACCTCTTCCCATGAATCACAAACGTCCTTAATGGCGTCTAGCATGGTGAATCCTTTCCAGAAGAATTGCAATTTACTTTGCCCAGCTCCATCAGAGGAATCACTATCTATGGCAGCTATAGCCTTATGAAATGTATTTCTTCAATAATAAGACTTGAAAGTTGAAATTACTCCTTGATCCATGGGCTACAGAATGGATGTTGTGTTAGCAGGCATGAAAACAACATTAATCTCATTGTACATCTTTATCAGAGCTTGGGTGAGCAGGTGTGTTGTCAATGAGCAGTAATATTTTGAACAGAATCATTTTTTCTGATCAGTAGGTCTCAACAGTGGGCTTAAAATATTCAGTACACCATGTTGTAAACAGATGTGCTGTCATCCAGGCTTTGTTGTTCCATTTATAGAGCACAGGCAGAGTAGACTACGCAGAATTCTTTAGGGGCCCTAGAATTTTCAGAATGATAAATGAGCACTGGCTTCAACTTAAAGTCATCAGCTGCATTAGCTCCTAACACAAGAGTCACCCTGTCCTTTGCAATTTGAAGCCAGACATTGACTTCTCCTCTCTAGCTATGAAAGTCCTAGATGACATCTTCTTTTAATATAAGGCAGTTTCATCTACAAGGAAAAACTGTTGTTTAGTGTAGCCACATTCATGAACGATCTTAGCTAGATCTTCTGGATAACTTGCTGCAGCTTCTACATCAGCACTTGCTGATTCACTTTGCACTTTTATGTTACAGAGATGGCTTCTTTTCTTAGCCCTCACGAACCAACGTCTGCTAGGCTCAGACTTTTCTTCTGCAGCTTCCTTACCTCTATCAGCCTTCATAGACTTGAAGAAAGTTAGAGCCTTGCTCTGGATTAGGCTTTGGCTTAAGAGAATGTTGTGGCTGGTTTGGTTTTCTATCCAGCCCATTAAACCTTTCTCCACATCAGCAAAAATGCTGTTTTGCTTTCTTATCATTCATGTGTTCACTGGAGTAGCACTTTTAATTTCCTTTGAGAACTTTCCCTTTGCATTCACAACGTGGCTGACTGTTTCATGCAAGAGGCCTAGCATTTGGCCCATCTCTGCTATTGACATGCCTTCCTCATTAAGCTTAATCATTTCTAGCTTTCGATTTAAAGTGAGAGATGTGACTCTTCTTTCCACTTAAACACTTAAAGGCCATTGCAGAGTTATGAACTGGCCTAATTTCAATATTGCTGTGTCTCAGGCAATAGGGATGCTCAAGAAGAGGGAGAGAAAGGGGACAGCTAGTCAGTGGAGCAGTCAGAATACCCACATTTATTAAATTTGGCATCTTATATGCGCACAGTTCATAGTGCCCCAAAACAATTAGAATAATAACATCAAAGATCACAGATCGCCACAAGAAATATAATAATAAAAAAAGAGTTTGAAATATTAGGAGAATTACCAAAATGTGACAGACACCGAAGTGAGCAAATGCTGTTAGAAAAATGGCGCCAATGGACTGGCTCAATGCAGGGTTGCCATAAACATTCATTTGTAAAAAACGCATTATCTGCAAAGCAGAATAAAATGAAGTGCAATAAAACGGAGTATGCCTGTATAGGCCAGAGCTGGGGTCTCACCTGAACCTTGGGGTCCTCTTCCAAGCTCACACTACTTTTAAAAGAATTCATTTCCTTGAAGCAGAAGAACTCATTACGCCTCTATCACAGCTCCCTGTTACCTCTACAGCATGTCACAATTATTTTTTATTGTCAGTGAATTCCTTGACAGAATCTAGCAGAGCGGTTTAGCACATAATTGTTCAACGAATCAAGTCTTGTATTTGTCTATTTATGATCCATATTATTTTCTTTATTAGTTTGTCAGCAACTTGAGGGCAAAGTCCTGAATCACTCATGAGTGTCTCCTTCCAGGAGGTCTAGTCAGCGCATGGTCTCAAATCTGATTTCTGAAATAAATCAATCAGGTGCCAGAATAAAGGAGGGAACCAGAGAGCAAGAGAGGGTGTAGCAAAGCAGAGTGAGTTTGAGAAAAGTCAGGCTGGAAAAAAACGGAGAGGCCAACAGCAGAAGTCACCCATTTAAGCTCCAACAACAAGGCTGCACCTCCTCACGCGACGTCAGAGCCAAGAAGCTGAGGATACACTTCTCGCGAGAGGAATGCTCCACCCCCGAGAAAGTGTACGTGCCCCGCCTTCCCTGAGCCCTACCCACTCCCCGCCCTCACCCCCACCTTGAACCAGCCGCGTGTGACGTCATGACGCGTGCGTGGCCGCGGCGCAGGCCGGGCCCGCGGCGCCGGAGGAGGAAGTGGTACGGTTGCTTCTCCTTCCGCGCCCACCGCTGGCTCCCGGGGCGCGGAGAGGGGTCTCCGTCGCCGGCGCTGCGTCGTGCTCTCGTGCTGTTCCCGTCCATGTGCCCCTGCGCCGTGGCTCCCCTTCCTCAGGCCACCGCTCACCCGGGGGTCTATGGAAGTAATGGAAGGACCCCTCAACTTGGTGAGTGGCCCACAGGGAGTCGCGTTCGCCCTCGGGCGCCTTCGCCTCTGGAGTCAGTGCCGTCCCTGGCGTGCCGCTGACCCTCGAGGCCGGGAGGCGGGTTTGGTGGGGGTGGTCCGAAAGTCTGGGGGGCGCGGAGCAGACGTGGCCCCACCGCGGCTCCAGGCAAGCTGCCCCCGACCTTGCCCTCCCCGGGGATCCCGGGAAGCTCCCGCATCCCATGTCCCACCGCCTCCGGGCACCCCGTGCCACAGGGCCCCGGGCGACCGGCTCCCACCAGCCGGGGCTGCCACCTCCTCTCCAGGCCGGAGGAAATGCCTCCAGACGCCACGTAACAACCTCCCTGCAGCCCGGAGAGGCACCGAAGCCTGTCCGGGCAGAAATGGTGTGTAATACCGCCGTCAACTGCTGTCACAGGGGGTCTGAGGTCCGAGTGTCCCCACTTTGGAGTAATACCCTTCTCATTTTTCCCTTCACCCGTTTCTCGCCTACATTCAAATGCATAAACTGAGAATCTCCCTTGTCGAATAAGTTAGAGACAGCGGGGGCCGTCCCTGTTTTTAGTGCTGTTTCATCACTTTAGGCATCATGAAAATACGGTAGATGTTTGCCTTTCTCAGAAAAAGTGCTGATAGCCCATTTACTTACTATGTTTTTAGGCATTTCTGGTGATGCGATTAAAACAACAACGGGAAATACGAGTCCTTTTCTGACTGGCCCACTCCATCTTTTGGTTTCTCAGAGAGGGTACCTATTTTGGATACAAAAGTCCGATTACTTATGGTTGCACACAGGAGGAACTTTTAAGCGTCACAGATTTGCAATTCAGTTGCGGTAGTAGGATTGGAAGAAGGAAGTATGGAGAATTAGTTTCTCAGGTTGGAAGTCTGAACGCTAGAGTCCTGGAAGAGCCCTGGGCTGGATTGAAACCATTATGTAGAGAAGCAGTAGAGCCTGGTGGTTTAAGAGTACAGATTTTGGACCTAGTCTGCTTGGATTTGAATTCTGGCTTTGTGACCTTGGGCAAATTGACGTCACTCTTCCTGGTTTCTTGTGAGGATTAAAGGAGTAAATAAGTGTAAAGAAAGGGCTTAGAACAGTACCTGGTACATAGTACAATGTAAGAGCTATTATGTTATTATAATAACATAATACATATTATGTATTTTAGACATACATATATAATACTATGTAGGTAATATATACATAGTATGCGTATATATCTATACGCATACATATATACCTAATAATACATATTGTAATAACATACAGACCATAAACCTGTAATTTAAAATCTCACTTGTAAAATAAAGTTTTGGACTTGTTGAACTTGAAGAGCCTAAGATTCTAGAATTTAAAGCTGGTTCCCAAATAACTGGTGCTGGGTTAGCTGCTCAGAGAAGCCTCCCAGTGTTCTTAAATTGAGCCCTACTCCCTTGGTAACAGTTGTTTACGCTTAAAAAGGACTAGAGTGTAAGTTTTAAAAACTAGGGAAATATCTTGCACTTTTCTTGTTTTTAAGGTGACATATAGTTTGCAGTGAAATGTAATGGATGGCTCAATAATGAAACTTCACAGGAATATTATTAGAAATAACCAGCAGTTTACAAAGTGCTTCAAAGTTCAAGTGTCCTTGCAAAATGACAATTGATTCAGTTCCAGTTAGCTTTGCTTTATTTGGCTGCAGGCTGCAGCGTAACCTCAGCCAACTGCTCCACTAGTGTGTAGTAGTTTATGAGAAGACTGGAGCTGGGTGACAGTTGTAGATGGAGCAGCAGAATCACCAGTTTAGGAAAAATTAGTTAAATGGTGGCAACAGTATTACCTTGTTATGGAGGAGAATTTTGAATAGTCTTGTTAAGCAGGCTAGCATAATTCCATAAGCCAGCCATAAAATTTTTGTGGACAAGTAACAGAAACTTAGCATCTTGAATTCTTAAACCAATTGAGATTTAAAAGATCTGACTTCTAGCCTAGCTGTTTATTAGAAGATAACGATGGAACAGAGATGAACACATACTTGAATCATTTTAACTGTGCTGCTAAGTACCAATGATGGGTCTCTGAATTGGAGCCTCTGAATTTGTTATCACTCAGTTTTAGAAGAGTGGGGTTTTTTGAAGACTGTCATCTTTTATGTCAGCAGATATCGAACTTAGTGCCCAGTTGACTCAGCCTGAGCAATAGTTCTCAATGCTATGATTTCATGAGGACCTTTGAAAATCCAAGTAGTATAGACAGACTTTCTCTAATGACATTTTAACATAGTCCAAATTCATTGTATAAGGACTTTTTATAGTACCTACGTTTATAATCATGTGTCTTCGGAGCATCCTTGGAATATAGTAAGAACTGCTTCCAAGTTTTACAAATAAATAAGCTCAGACTGAGAGAAATTAAGTAATTACTTAGGACAGTGACTCAAATACATTATGGATCAGAACTTAGTTTGATATCATGGCTTGTTTCTAGCAATGCTTCTGTATTCGTGTTCTCATCATTTTCGTTTCGCTATGGTCCTTATCTGTGTTGGACTCCAGATTTCTCTGTCAGCTTTTAGTGCCTCTGCTCTAGTGTTGCTTCTTTTATGTTAGGTTTGCAGTAAGGGCCTGTAGGCTTATTTCCTCACAGTGAGTTGTTGACATAAGGAAGAGACTGGATTGAAATAGTCATTTTAATACATAGTACAGATGTTGTGTTCTGGTTCTCTGGTTTTTGAAGTTGGTCAAAAGAAAAATAAACCATGTTTCCATTGAGCAGGAAAAATAGTCTTCCGACTCATTAAGTTTTGTTTCATCAGTTTTTTTCTTTTTGTCAATTTTTCATATGGAAAAATTGTAAGTTATAACAATTCTTTCCATCCATTTTATTGGCAGTGTGAGTGATGGTCGCAAATGTCAAAATTTGTGTGAGATAATTTTTAGTTCTTTGGTTTATTTGCTGCCTATTTGGGAAGTGATGTCACACCTTGATTTATACATTACTGTTGCTCATGCTTTGCTTAGCTACTCTGCAAACTCTAAGGACAAGGTCCATGTGATTGTGTGGCCACAACTGTATTCTGTGTGTTTGGCCCTTTTAAGAGTGCTGAGAATATGTTTTGTTGAGTAACTGAGCTTCCCTTTAGAGTGATCAGTTCTCATCCAAGAAAAGGAGTCAGATATCATGGTCCAAAGAATGGCCTTCTACATACCTGGAGTCTTTGTAACTATCCCATGGTAATTGTATTGGCAGTAAAATCTTTGAGGTAAAAACAGGTTGTTGGTACCACTTTCTTGTTGCCCTGACAAATTTCAAGGGAAATTCATCCTGTCACAGTCTAGGCTGGGCTTAATGTAAACACACTGGAGAAAGGCAGTAGAGCACTTAGATTTATCCAACAATTACTAAGTGCTGGGGTTGGCATCAGGCACTTTACATATACTATTTATTTTGTTATCTTAGTAGCTATATGAGATATTCCCCATTTTATGGATGAAGATGTTGAAATGCAGAATAAGTGGTGATAGTGGGATTTGAAAGCAGGATTGTAAATATGATATTAATCTTTCTATTAGATCAGTGTTTGCCCATTTGTTTTAACTGTGATGCACAATGAGAAATTTTTACATAGTGACCAGTACACACATACATATGTGTATATTACTGCAGAGCTGCTACATTGTGGATGTGCCTCCTGGAATTGTGCAAAATCCAGGGACCTGCATAAATTTCACTTAAACAAAAAACTAAAACTGAATCTTTATATCTTAAATATATATGTATGGTATTATACATCATGCACGCTAATATTTACTATTAGATTTTTTTTTTAATGCTGGTTATGTTGCACTAAATTGATTTCACAACTTGCTAGTGGATTGAATCCTGTAATTTGTCTTCACAGCAGATGGTAGCATTTCTTAAAAAAAGCATAAACTGGAAACTTGAGGGAGAAAAAAGATGCATCAGAGCTGCCTGTGGGAGAAAGTGATCCTTAGACTTAAAATTGAAAACAGATCTTCCTAGACTTCTCTAACACCTGAGCAGTTGTCTTAAGTATAATTGCATTACATGAGTTAGAAGGTCAATTCACTACTTAGTGTTAGGAGATACGACTTTCCTTTAAGGAGACAGAATGAATTGGTTGGGAAAGGGTGAGTGAATGAGGTTTCTCCTTTGCTCTTCATTGAAGACCCTACCACAAGGTTCAAGAGTACGTTAGATTTTCCTCTGCCTCCTTTTCAGTATTGCATTTGGTCTGGTATTCCATTTTTTTCCATCTTTATGTACAGTTTCACAAAGGACACAGAAATAAATCAATGCAAAGTAATGGAAGATAATACTATTTTCCTTTGGGAAAGAAGACAGTATTGAACCTGTATTTTTAAAGAAGTTAGCATGTAGAAGTAGAAACTACTTCCTAGTGAGGCCAGTCACTTAGTAATCTAGTTGTATTTGTTAGGATTTTTCTTGGTTGCAGGTGATAGAAACCCACTTCAAATTAGCTTAAGCCAAAAGGGATAATTTGTTGGAATCAAAAGAAAGCTGCAGGAATGGTGGGGCTACAATGTAGGTGGCTCTAAGAACATATGAGACCTGGGGCTCAAAGATAATCAGATTCTCCCTCTCTGCCTCTTCAGGCTTGACTGCTTTACTCATCTTCTCTGCAGACCTACTTTTCCCACCTGGCCAACGCCTGAATGTCACATTAGTTGTAACTGCTTAAAACTTTCTTGACGTACTCTCTGGTCCTAAGTTTGAAAATCTGGTGGAACGGATTCTTTAGGTGTCCAGGGGACAAGGTAATATAAGAATATGGCAACTCCCATAGGAGTCATATTGATTGTCTAGGAAGAAGAGTAGTTCACAGAGAGGAATGGGGCATGTGGAAAGTGTTGGCTGTTTTTGAGGAGGATTCAGTGAGGAAGAAATTTGTACAGGGCATATAGTAAGACATTACTAAATCTGAAACTGTTTTACTTTTTTTTTTTTGGTGAGGAAGATTGGCCCTGAGCTAA